CTGCCAGCATTTTGTCCCTATCACTGAGTGTCTGCTCCATGTGTGCTGCTGAATTCACAGGAGCCTGCTGGGGTCACTCCTGGGGCTTCCACATGGGATTGCTGGTGGGATTGCAGGATTAGCCACAGATAAAGCTGCAGGAATAGGGTGTGCCTTAACAGGAGGGGAAATATTGCTGAGAGGATTTATGGAAAATGCAGGGAGATCCTTCAGAATTGAGCACACCGTGTTTAGATGGTGTGCTAGCAAAAAAAAAATCCATGATTTTGAATAAATCCTGGGTTAAATCCTTTAAATCCTTGTTTGCATACAGTATCAGTTAAATTATGCTGTTTGTGATTTTCAGTTATCCCAAAAGAACTTGGGCCACTGTGACTGATAAATTCCTTCTTCATAGGATAGGGAGGTTCCTGCTAAATTCCAGGAGGTGGATTTATACAATTAACTTGGTTTAAGTACAGTATTTGCCAAAATCTGAGCAGATTTACCCATACCAAAGAAAGACCATCTAAAAGACAAAAATAAGCACCGTGGAAGAGTAAAAGAATATTCCTTAAACCATAAAATCTTGACCAAATTGATGCTGATATTGTTCTCATTTAGTCTTAACATAATGTAACTAAACAGCTCAAAGGTTTGGAGAACAGATATTGGTACTGATATTTTTGTCCTCTAATGTAAAATAGCTAATGTAATTATTTTTTTGACAGACTGAACCTATGGAATAGAGGATAAAATGGACATTTCTTGCACAGAAGGTAATACAACAGCATTGTTTAACTTTTGTAACTCCATGGGTAAGATAAATATGAAGATAAGTTTTTTAAAGGAAACTGCTAAAGATGAGCTGGTTTGTAATATTTGATTTAACATCTCATAGCAAGTTTTTTCAAAAAGCTGCATTTTAGTCACTGAATAAACACTGACAAAATTTTGCAGGGAGCTGAGTAAATTCCAGACCAGTTAAGGAATGAGAGATGCAACATTTCCTGTGTTAATCCAGGATTTTTACTTGTCAGCCCTGCTATCAGATGTTCTGGCCTGACAACAAAAGATGGCAAAATTTAAATCCAGTTTAAAAATAGCCCAAAGCAATGTGCCCTACAAATATCCCCAAAATAGATCCTTATGTGGCCATAAATATAAACACCCTAAATATAGCCAAAAGCACTGTTCTGTGTAGAAATAATGGATCTAAAAGCTTCCCAGAGATGAATTACAGGCCTTCACTGTGAAATCAATAGAGAAACCATCCTCTTTTCACACAGTCAATGTTAAAATGACTCAAGCATCAACCTCATTTTGCTGCTTAGCTCTGAAAAATGGATTTCAACCTGCAATATTTCTGTCTAAAGCTGCTGCCCAGTTTCTGAGAAAGCAAACTGGGAATTTCCCAGCAGTAACTTCCCACTGGGTCACAAAGGTTTGGCTTGTAAGTTGAAAATCAATATATTTTTTTTGCACCATGCTCCAAGCAGTCTCTCTAATGACAAAGGATGGACAAAGCAGCCACATTCCTTACAGACATGGGATTTGTCTCGGCAGTGACTTTCCACCTGCTGAAACAACAGTGGCTACTCTTAATTCTGCATTATTTGTAATTCCAAAATGCTGTCCAGGATAAAAAGCTGAATAGTACCAGGAAAGCTCCAACATAACTTTATTTCTTTTCCCTTAGGAGATCAACTGCTGCCTTTTCCCATGGGAATGATCCCTCAGGCCTGGCCCCTGGGATCAGAGGTGTGCTGCTCATGGCCTGCTCTCTTCAAAATGTTCTCTCCTGTTTCTTTCATCCTGTTTTTGTTCTGTATTTTGCTGTTGTGAGCGCATGTAAACCTTATAAAAAAACAAAAAAAAAATCACTGATGTTAATGTAGAACTGCATTACATTCGCACAACTATTTTTTTAAGGTTTTAAAAAATGCAAAAGCAATGCCTGTCTCTGAAATTGCTCTTCTGTTTTAATTACAGGGCTCCATCTTCAAAGATTTTTTTTTGTTTCTTGTAGCAGTTTGGTTTTAAATGTATGAAGCTTTCAAGAGTGCTCTGTGCTTGTCCTGAAAGATTTTTGGTGGAACAGTTTGTTTAATTCATATGTGGAAAATGTTAATTATCTTTTATTTAAAAAAAAAAAATTGATAAATTACATGTACAATTGCAATTCAATGATCTTTTGTATTTTATTTTTCAAAATAAATGCTTTAAATGTGATTTTTGTTTATTTATTTATTAATTAATGGTTCTGCTTCCAACTTAAGATTTAAATAATTCGAGATATTGATGTGAGGGAAGGTATGATCTCATGTCCTGGGTTTGGATCTCATTTTAAGGTTTGCAATTTAATGCTTTTTGTTTGCTTTTAATATCTGGGTGATGAAAAAATGGTAAATTGGAGTGTCCCACTGAGAGGTATAACGTGAGATTTGTTCACTGCAGGAAGAGGCAGGTAATTTTTAGACTCTTGAATTTGTTCCTCAGAAGTAATTTTGTTCAGATATGTTCTGCTAGGGGAAACTGCTGTTGTGAGTTGTATCTTAAAGTTTCGATCTTTAGGATACAGTGTGGAACATGATTATTTCCATTAGGTATTTTTGGGATGGTTGTTATGTCTCGATTTCTGCTCCGCTCGGTGGTTCAAGGTGGTTTCAACCTTCCCCACTGATTTTCAGAGGAGTTCTTGCCAAAATATTTGCATTTCCTCAGATTCTGGATCTGACGGAGTTTTTGCTTTTCCTCCGTTTCTCCGTTGCTGCGTTTGGGATATTTATAAAGCCCGGTGCCCTCACGGCTCTGTGTGCCTTGCCGGAGGAGGATTTCCCCGTCCCTCCCACACGCGGTGCCGGCTGAGGGCAGCGCGGCCGCGCTGCTCCCGAGGCCGCTAATTAACCCTGGCTAATTAACGCTGGGCGTTTCCCTCGGAGCTGCGCGGCACTGAGGGATAACCCCCGGTGCCGCTGCTGCTCCCGGTGCCGCCTGGGCGGCTCCGCCCGCCGGGACCCGGATGGGCCCGTACGTGACGCGGGGCCGCGGCCGCTCCCCCGGGCCGGAGCGGAGCCGCAGCCGCGGGCAGGCACCACCAGGTGAGCGCGGGCGGGGACAGCCGGCCCCGCTCCCCTCATCCCCTCCATCCCCCAAGGGGCTTTCCCCGCGGCCGGGGCTCCGGTACCGACCCGCGGCAGGTGAGGCAGCGGCGGGGAGGCCGCGGGGCTGGAGGGGGTCGGGGGGCGTGAGGGGAGCGGAGGGACCGCGGCCGCGACCATCCCCTCGCGAGCGGTGGCGCCGGTCAGGCTGTCACCCTGGCAAGGCGCGAGGTGACAGTTAATTATTAATTAGTTATGAATGAATTATTGGTTATTTGCCTGACTCTTGGCGTGCCCGCCGCCTGGGTTTGTGCTGCCCCATCCACCCGCTGTGGTGATGTGTGTGTGTGTGTGTGTGGTGCCTGTGCTCCTCACAGCTGTCAGACAGCTCTGAAAACTGGAATTCCAGTGTGAGGGGCAGTGCCAGGCACCAGTGAGTGCAGCCCCAGTGTCCTTCACCCACTGGTCACTCCCAGCCCCAAGCCAGGTGTCCCTAATGTCCTGCTCCTGCCTGGAAGGTCACTGTGATGGGGAGTCCCATTCTACCCACCCACACACCCTGTCTTAGTTCTGAGTGCAAAAGTTGAGTTACACTGCTCTTTCATCAGACTGTGTGTCGCTGTTTATGACTAGAGATTCTGGGATTTTACAGTCCAGGATTCTCCAGGCCAGTTTATTTCAGCTCAGAGATCCCAGCCCCTCTTGCAGGATGTTTATTTGCTGTTCTGACACTGATTCATTAGAATTTACTGTATCTTGTGTCTTTTCCCTCTGTGTTCATACAAACCTTTTGATCATCTGTGTCTCTTGAAGCTGGTGATGTAGACACTTCTAAATCAAGTCTCATTCTACCCCAGTTTCTCTTTAAAAAGAGGCAGCCTTCCAACAATCTACTTGGTGTCTCCCCAAAAAGCACATCCCAAGGAGTTCAAACAGGAGTTTGTGTGGGACTCCTGTATGATGGGTTCATTCATCAGAACCTTGCTGAAAAAGCCTTTCACTGTATAACCATCATGTCATTTTTTGTTGGCATGTACTTTTTTGGGGTTTGTAACTTTGTCAACACAGGTGCAACCTCAGAAAGTATTTAAGAAAAAGTTCTTTAAACCAATATGGAGAAGTTAAGGGAACAGCAGAGCCTTGAAAAGCTTTTATAAATCTTAGCATCAAGCCAAATTCAAGGGTTGCTGCCATTCCCTGGTGAATGAAGTCAAACTGGCAGGGCCAGTTCATTTACTGAGCTTTCTTTACTGCGTGTGGGACACTATCTGAGCTGTCCCCAACAAAGCTCCAGGAAGCAACCCCTGCTTTTAAATGACAGGTGGAAGGACTGGAAGGAGGCATTTCTAGTAGAGTTGGGTGCTGCTGATGTGTGGTTCAATCAAATATTTGATTTAATGATAATTTTGTTTATTGGTGGTGTTTTCCCATTACCTATCTGTTGATCTAGACCTAGATGCATTTGAAAGTAAAGTGGAGATATTTGCTTAGTTTAAATTAATAAATTCTGTAAAATTAATGAGAGATTTAACAAAGGAATATTTCTGCCATAGTTAAAAATAATTATTGCACGTGCTTTAAGTGCAAAGAAGAGGATCAGCCTAGGTTTGGATGGGGCTTAGAGCAACCTGGTCTGTGGATATGGCAGGGGGGTGGAACTGGATATCTTTAAGGTCCAGTTCAACCCAAACTATTCTGGGATTCAGATGGATGTGTTTTCTTTATGAAATGCAGTGATTAACTTCTGCTTTTTTTTTAGAAGGACTCTGCTCCTGTCAGCACAGCTCTGTTTCACTGCTCCCTGGGTGAACAGGTGAAGCCAGCCTAGAGAGGAACTTCACTCACCTTTTAATGAACGTCAAAAAACAGGTTCAACTTGTCAGTCATTTGTGTTTTTATTGCCACTAAGCTTGTCCTCAAAATCCTGGCCTCATGACGGTCTGCTAAACCTCATTATTGAGGGATTGTTTTGTGTGGATGTTCCGATGGCAGAGAAGGTTGGTACTCCTGACCAGAACGTAATTAGTGCTGTCTCATGGCTATTTTTTTCTTAAACCTTGGTGTCATATTGAAGGAGATTATGAAAGAGGGAGAAAAATCCCTTTTTCTCAGTCCTCTAGCTCTGTTAGGGAAGAGGCCCTTTTTGGTGCAGTGCCAAATGGATGAGCTTACCCCAGAAACCCATTCTGTGGTCAATAATGCTGATATATTTAATGGAGTGAATGTTTATTCACACTACACTCCATTTAAGTGAAATCTAGGGGACATCCTTGAAAATGCAGACAAAGAACACATTTTTCATCAATCTTGTGTTCTTTTAAGTACTCAAAACAGAACTCGAAATAGCAGCCGAAGCACTGGTGTCAAGTGGCAGCTTTATAAATAATACATTCACAGTAAATACAGGCTCACCCTCAATTTTTGACTGTGCATCTTATAAATGCTGTACTGCAAGCTCTTTCTGGTTGATAATTTGTTTACCTCCTTAAAGGAATCCCTAGCAAAATGATCTGTCATTTATATTGTGCCTATTCTTTATCTGTGAGGCATAGCTGAGTTGTTTTGATAATTGATGTCAGAATAAACATTGTTTTAGGACAAATATTAAAATTGTTCGTAGGGTGTGGCCCTTCAGAAGCACTTCCATCCTTATTTATCTGCCTGTGCAGTGGACTGGGGTGGAAAAATGATTATGAACTGTAGAGGAGAGAAATTAAATCCCTCTCTGAGCTGAGCCAACCCTCTTGATGAGCTGCAGCTTAAAGAAAAATGTTTGGAACTTCACAGTAGCTATTTATCTGTATTTATTAGAGTGTTAAACAGGATCTAGAATTCATCTCCGAATTTTGGGGGAAGAAGGCTGTGGGCACTCCCACAGAAGTGGAAGCTTTGCTCTGATCAGGTCTATATAAAGTACCTGTTTTGCTCAGGAGCATCCCAGGTCTGTCTGGGTTCATTCTCTCTGAACTCAGTATTTCCTCTGTGAGCTGAGATCTAACAGTGTGCACAATGACTGTTAGCAGAATTAATAAGGCAGAATTTTAAAATTTTATGTCATTTTTTCTTGCTGATTTTGAGGGAAAGCATCCTTTAATCAATAAATAAACGTGCCAGATGTGCTTGTGCAAATAATCCTCCTCTTTCTGTATTTTATAGTGATTTTAGAGAAGGTTTGGAGGTAGATAGAGCCTCTGGTAGTGGATTGGCTTTTCTAGGGAGTTGTAATGCTGCTGGAGACATCCTGGGAACAGGGATTTTACATAATGCAGTGTAAGGAGAGCAGCGGGGTTTCTCTTTGCTACTCTGCTTTTTCAGTTACCATTTTTACTGTGCAGTTTGTCAGTGCATCCCATTCTCCCTTTGGGGATGGACCGAGAATCCTTGTAGGTGTTGAATTCAATTGATAATTAGCAGCGTGATAAGGGGAGTTAAATATTTGTGTCTCACGTGCGCGTCCGTGTGTGGTGTGATGTGATGCAGCGGGCAGGGAAACGCCCGCTTTCCCTGGCTGGTGAGAAATCCCGGTTTTTCCCATTTCCCAGGGAATTCCAGCGCCCAGCCGAGCCCTCCCCGTGCCCGCTGCCAGCGAGCGGCTGAAGGTGACAGACGGAGCCGGGTGTCGCGTCCCTGCGCCCCGCCCCTGGCAGGGCCGTGTTCCTGCATCCCGCCCCTGGCGAGGGACAGGCTGGGACAGCGGCCACCCAAATTCTCCCAGCAAATGACATTTTCCTGCAAAGCCGCTCCGGAGCCAATCGCTCCCTGCACCGCGCAGCCAATGGATGCCGGGCTCTTCCCAGCCCCTGCCAGCGGCTCCGCGGCTGGAGGGCCTCGGACCAGCTGTGCCAGCGGCATTCCTGCCCGCAGCCCTCTCCCGGGGCGCTCGGCATCCCTGCGCCTCCTGTTCCCGGGAATAACGCTGCCGCTGGCAACGCTCGGGGTGACGCGGCCGCTGCGGGGAGCGCCCCGCTGATCGGGGTAATTCGGGTAATTAATTTGGGTCTCCCTTCAGCACTGCCACGGCCTCCTACCCAGCAGAGCTGCTCCCCAGAGCCAGAGGGATGGTGGTAGTCACGGGGCAGAACAAAGTGAGTGCCACCCCGGATGATGCCATGTCGAGCTCGGATGCAGAGGATGATTTCCAAGAGCCGGCCACTCCCACCGCCACCCAGGCAGGACAAGCGCTACCTCTGCTGCCTCAGCAGGTAAGAGCTCACCTGAGCTGGGGATGATCACGGCAGCACAGACTGCTCAGGTGCTGAAGAATTCAGGATTTCGTTGTGGATACCCAGCGCACTTAACATGTTGGAATAAAACGAAGTCTCTTGAATTTATTTGAGTAGCTCGGCAGCTTTACTTAAAAGTTCCATCCAGGTTTAGACTTGAGATATGCAATTAAGTGTTTATTCTGGTACTTAAGGCATCTTGGGGTGTGATAGTAAGATTTTAGGCCTGATGTAAATAAATACAAATATTTTCTCAGTGTATAGTATAGTCTGGTTGTGTAAAGGAGCCAGCAGAGTTGACCTGAGATTTCTTCCCTTTTTTTTCTCTGTGTAAGGCTGGGGAAGAGGTTTGGTTTTGTTCTTTCCTTTCCCCAAAAGAGCCAAGAAGAAGCATTAATATCTCAAATATCTGCTATTCCAGCTGAGTGATTTCTGCTGTTTCAGATTCCCAACTACAACTAGACCACTCCCTGATTCCTCCCAGCAGCCAAAGCATCCACATTTTTACCCCTCAAATCTCCCTGATTTGTGGCAGTGGGGCAGGAACCACACATCTGTGGCAAAGCTGCAAGTGCCTTTTGGGAGCTGTGCTGGACAGAAGGCTCCTTCCTGATGTCCTGATTGCTTTTGCAGTTCCCAGAAGTTGTCCCACTGAACGTGGGGGGGATGTTTTTCACCACCAGACTGTCCACGCTGCGCAGGTACGAGGACACCATGCTGGCAGCCATGTTCAGTGGCAGGCACTACATCCCCACAGATGCTGAGGGCAGGTACTTCATCGACAGGGATGGCACCTACTTTGGGTAAGTACAGATCCTCAGGGCGAGCTTTGAAAGTTCTTGCTAAAAACTTATTTTTAAACTTGTTCTTAACCTTTTTTTTTTCCTTCTTCGAGTTAAATTGTATTTGTGCAGCATTTAACGTTACACGCCTTCAAAGCATCAGAGGAGTAACTGCAGTTAAAAACTCTTTGTTGGTTGTGAAATGAGAAAGGAAAAACAACAAATGCTTTGAATTTGTGCATTGTCTCCCTAAGAGTATCTCCTTTCAATGTATCAAGTTGTTTTGATGGTTTAAAGGAACTGTTTGGTGTTGCTTTACATAGGAAATTCCTTTGCACAGCGCTGGGTTTTAATTGATATTCAGTATCTGCAAGGAAGAAGGAATGGAAGGAATGAATTGAGTATTCCTACACAGTTGAAAATCTGATATTTTCAATTTTTAAACAGGATATAACTGCTAAAAAAAAGCACAAGCCCTTAAAGAATTAATTTTTCTAAATTGTTTGTTGGTTGTGCCATATTCCTTCACCTCCAGGATTCCTTCCTAAGTACTCAGCTTTTATTTTATTTTTAGTTAAACTAACCATGATTACTAATGCACTGTTTGAATTGGGGTGAGATTGCTAAAAAAGGTGATCAGTGTTCATGGGTTCAGGTCTTTGCCCAAAGCACGCATTGCAATTTATCCCAAATTTCTTGTTGCTCCTTTATAAACATTTTCTTGTTTTCTTCAGCAGAGGAACATTGAATTATTTTCAAAGCACTTTTGGGTTGTACCATAATCTGGGACAGAGATAGATTAGGCCACTGTGTTTATTCTAAAATAATTGTTTCTTTACATGAGGCAATTGTTGGAAAATCAATTAATTTGTGATTTTATCAACCTCAATTTGAAATAGAGCTGGAACAGAGAGCCAGGTTAGCATGTGCTGTATCTGTTGTCATTCTAAGATTCCAGTAATGCTTCTTTTATTTGATAAGGTTTTACTGGTTAATACTTACAAAGTGATTTTTTTTTGTTTATTTGATAGGGGTTTTGTTGGTTAATACTTATAAAGTGATTTCTTTCCCTGTCAAAAGATCCTGTTGCTGATCAGTGTTTCAGAACTACAAGGAAATGTTCTTTCTCTTTATTAAAAGTTCTGATTATTATTCTGTAAATGGCCCTGATCTGGGAGGAGAAACCTCCTTTGCAGATGTCCCATCCATTCAGCTGGGTCTGTGTGCAATAAAATGTCCATGAATGTGATTATCTGGGAAAATGCAAAAGTTTATTTTGTCCCAGACCTAAATGTGAAATGCGGTGACCACAGTTTCTTTCCCATGAAACACTCTGGCCTCTTTTGTGTTATAAATGGTTTCCTCCACACTGAGTGTTTGGTTTAAAATCCTCTGATATTTTTTCAAATGAGTTTTGACATCAACTGAGGCAAAATGTGAAACAATGGCTTGGAAACCTGAACATGGCAAACGGTTTTACAAACAAATGTTGGGAATATGGCTCATTTATTTCAGTTACTGTCTCAATAAAGCAAACAATGAATATCCAGCATTTCCTCTCCTGCAGCAGTTTTGGCAGAAATGTGTTTCTTAATGATATTTTTGCCCTTTTTTTTAGAGACATACTAAACTTCCTACGATCTGGTGACCTGCCCCCCCGAGAGCGAGTGAGGTCAGTGTACAAGGAAGCTCAGTATTATTCCATAGGACCCTTGCTAGACAATCTAGAGGATATCCAGCCTCTTAAAGGAGAAAAAGTTAGACAAGCTTTCCTGGGCCTAATGCCATATTACAAAGGTAAATAAACAAAGTAGCACTGACTGTTTCTTCTAATGGGATTCCAGTGTTAAACCTCGTGCTTTCAGTCTGCTCTCAGCTCCCAAACTGATCCCATTGCAGCTGGGAAGTTTATTCTGTGTTTTTTGTGCTGTTTGGATCGTTGAGGTCTCCACATCCTGCTGCATCCCAGGGTGTGGATTTCTATGCTAAAAGGGAGCAAGAGTAGGCAGTAATGTTAATAAATGAGAGGGTTTGTCTCCATTTGTTCTGTCAGGACTTGCAACTGAATAAACTTGGCCTTGCAGCAAGGCCAGATAACTTGGGCATATAATAAGGCCACCAAGTTCACCAGATAACGGAGATTGATCTGATTTTTCTATATTTTGCTGCATGCTGCTGATAACAACAACCACAGTGAAATGTTTCACATGAAATAATTGCTTTTGATCTCTTTTCCTCGTCGATTCGTCAGAACCCTCAAGACTTTGTCTCTTTTTCCAGACCACTTGGAGCGGATAATCGAGATAGCCAAGCTGCGCGCCATGCAGAGGAAGGCCAGGTTTGCCAAGCTGAAGGTGTGTGTGTTCAAGGAGGAGATGCCCATCACTCCCTACGAGTGCCCCCACTTCAACTCTCTGCGCTTCGAGCGCAGCGAGAGCGAGACCAAGCTCTTTGAGCACCACTGCGAGGTGGACGTGTCCTTCGGGCCCTGGGAGGCCGTGGCCGACGTCTACGACCTCCTGCACTGCATTGTCACCGACCTGTCCGCCCGGGGCATCACCGTGGACCACCAGTGCATCGGCGTGTGCGACAAGCACCTCATCAACCACTACTACTGCAAGCGCCCCATCTACGAGTTCAAGATCACCTGGTGGTGAGCTGGGCTGCCTGAGCAGGGCGTGAGGGGACTCCCAGAGGACAAATGTTCTGCTGAAATCGCCTGGTGGTGAGTGTGGTGGCACAGCCAGGGGTGAGAGGACTCCTAGAGGACAGATGTTCTTGGCAGTTGCCTTGCTGCTCACCATTCCTTGGGATCAGCCTGCTGGCAGGGGTTGGGAAAACCTCTGGAAACTTGAAAAACCAGCCTGAAATCAGACCGTTGGCTCAGGTACCTTAACGAGGCACAAAACAAAATCACCTCATGGAAAGGATGGAGGGGAGTGGCTGAACATCTGCTAAAAGGTGCCACCAACCATGTGGCTTCAGGATGGAATTGCAGATTTTTCCTGCGTTTTTGGGAATCTGGGGTGCTACTAAAGCTGACGCTTCAGTTTTATCCTCTTAGAAATGTTTTAGTTCCTCCTTCAACTTTATAAAATTTGAGTCACACCCAGCACAAAGATTCTGGAAATGTCATTTTGATGTACTAGATAATTTAAAAAAAAAAGAAAAAAAAAAAAAGGAGTATTCCCTATATATTATTAATTGTTGTCAGGGTTAAGCTGTATTTCTTTTTTCATTAAGAATCTACATTGTGAATTATAATGTTATACTTCAATTATTTCTGTTGTTATCAAAAGGAATAGCAAATCTGGAATATATTCCTTAACGCTTTTAGGAATAATAACTGTTCATGGAAGACTTGTGCCTGTTTTTAGCCTTAGAAATTCTAAATGTTTACAATATCTACAAAAAAGAGCTCTTTAGAATCAGGTCATTTACAAAGGCTTTTGGTAAATGAGAAAACCCTGTCTGTATGTTCCTATTAGTAGTAGTAAGAGGAATATTTAATGTATATTATTTTATTACTGACTCTTTTTACATTCTGTGATATTAAAGTTTATTTTAGACTTAAAGTCAGATGATATTAGACAAGTGCTTCCTTCACCTCACCTTTTTCAGACAATTAAAACTTAATTTTATCCTTCTTGTTGATCCTTCTTGGTGTCACAGAAGGAGAAACAAAATTCAAACTTCATATTCAGATATTTCTCCACTCTAAAGCAGTAGGAAATTTCTTTCCACGCTGGACGAGGGAGCCACTGCAGCATCATATTTTCTTCAGAAGGTCGTTTTTGTACTTGTGATATGAGCAGCCACATCCCAAATTTCAACTACTGAATTCAGCCCAAAACTGAGAGGGAGAAAAGTCTGAAGATCTTATTGTCTTGTGAGGTACAGAAAACTCCAATGTGCTTGAAGGGGCTTCAAAATAATCTTAAAGAGAGAGGAAAAGTAAATATTTGCATCTTGCATTCCATTGGATTAATTAATCCAAGAATATTGCTTAATTAAACTTCTGACCAAAATTCTTTAGAAACATTAGTGGCAATGATCAAAATTCTCCGTTTTCTGAGGCAATTTTTAGAATAACTGTAAGAACATAAGGATCAAACTGTCTTGCAAAAAAAGAGACCATTTTTTTGCCTCGTCACCCTTTTAGATATTTAATTTAGGAATGAAATTGTCTCTCTGAGGTGGGTGTCTCCCTACTGATCTCTGCAATCCTTACACAGGATCATTGTCAAGTGCTGAGTTTCAAGGGCAGAGATAAATTTGAATAGAGGGAGTTCTGCACATTTGGATCTAAATTTAAGTTTGTTTCAATTGTTTCCTGAAATAATGGCCTTGATGTTACAGGTTCTTGGAGTTGTGTTTGGCAACCCAAAATTAAAAGTTAAACTGAGACTAAAGTTTCCCTGCAAGGAGAGGGAGATTTGCTTGGTTTCTTTGGCTTTGTTGCCTTCATTTTTTTCTTTCTTTCCAAGGAATCTAAACTGCAAACCACAATTTCTTATAAAATTAAATAACATCTTAAAGCTGAGCTTTGTCTTGACTGCTTGTGCACTTCAGATATTTAAGTTTGGGATTTTCAGATGTTCAAAACTACAGGTACTTACAATTCCAGAATTACAATATTCAGATTACAATGAGAATTGCAGTTTTCCTGCAAATTTCAGTGGTTTTTTTTTTTTACCACTTCCCATAAATGTATTTACAGAATTCTGGTCGGAATTCCAGCACTCCTTGCAGAAATGGATCACATTTTGATTTTCACAGTGTGTTTTCTGGTTTGGCTTTAGGAATTTCTCTGCTGCTGTTCAGGAGAAGTTGTGATGACAAAATTCCTGTTTGAGTCATTTTTGTTGCTCCTTAATATGAACACTTTGTAACTTTTTCCTGTTTGTTCCTTAAATAATTAAGGAAGGCAACCCAACCAAAAAGAGAAAATGAGAATCTTGGTCTGCATCAGCTGTGTCTTAATCAAAGCTCTCATCCTCCTGAAGTGCAATACTGGAAATGAAAACGTGAATTTAAGCCCACAAGCTTTAATTAGTGCTGGGATTTGTGATTTGTTCAGGTTAACAATATTTTAATTGTTCCAAGCAGTCTTTGTTTACAAGGATTTAGCTGCTCTTGCCCAACCTGTGCTCATTTTTTGGCAGAAGCAGAAGAATTGTGCAGGTGGATGGCAGGGGAGTGTAATCTGAAAACTGGGTTATGTAACGTGATTGATTCTCTTTTCTGGGCCTATAGCTTTTGAAATCCTACATTTGCAACAAAAAATGGGAGTGGCTGATCTACTAAATCCATGTTTGAGAGGTCTGAGGACTTTTGTATAGAATTGCATCATTAAATTACGGAATACTGCTGCTTTTTTTTTTTTTCCCTTTAGGACTTTTCTTTATATCTGGGCAGACCAAAGTTTTGCTAATACATATTTTTCTGTGCTCCCTTAGCTTTTTTTTTGCCACTTTATAATCTACAGATGATATTGTAGATATCTTTTCCACCCTCACACTCCCAAATCCCTGTGTTTGTGAGCAGTAAATGGTCTCCTGTCCATTTCAATATTGGAGGAATGGTGGGACATTTATTTAAAATACTTTTTTCATTGCTGTGTGTGAACAAAAACATGACATGACCAATTTTTCTAACATTCCCTTTATATCCATTTTGGAGTGGTTTTTTAACAAGGCACAAAGGGAGGTCTCATATGAAGTGAGCTGGGCAATTCCACAGCACATCAAATGTTTCTGCATCTGTTTTATGCTTGTGAAATAGGAAGGAGAAAAAAAGAAAATCAAAATAGAAAAATAAGAAGTAGGAAAATAAAATAAAGGAAAATAACCCTTATGAAGCACTCAAAAATGACATGAAAAGATGTTTATGTACAGCAGCCACTTAATGTCTGCTGAGCTCAAGAGTTTAAAAAAATATCTAAAAATAACTTTTGGACTTGGTGTAGACTTTTAACTTGAATACCCAGTATTCTGCACAGGAATCTGAAATAGTCCTTGCTGAACTTCCATCCTCCTCAGAGGAAAGTGAAGGTGCTGCCAGGTTTGATCTGGGAAGTCTTTGTGCCATAAGCAGCTCCTCTGTGGTCCTTGTGCATGTGCTGGCTTTTTAATTTTTATTCTACAAAGAGGGATCAGTTTCTGCATCAGTGAGGGTGTGAGTTCTTTTTTTTTTTTTTTTGGAAGCACTTTGGGTTTAGTTACCTTAAACAAAAGCAGTAAATTATCACAGCAGGAATTCCTGTATCCCTCCCTTTTGAGTAATTTTTTTAAGTTTTAGGAATTCTGCTTGGGAGACACCTCAATATGCAAAATACCTGAATTTGTTAATGTGAATATTTTTGACATTTTGTTATTAGTTGTGTAATATTCTTCCCTGAATGTAGCAAGAGTGATAAGGGCTGAGTTAAACACTGGTTTTGTGATAAACCAGCTCATGCCTCATTTGGAAAATCACCCATCCCAAAGTCTGTTAAGGTAATAGGAAAAGCAGGAATCTCCCTCGGCTCCCCACAGTGAGCCCTGAGGATACTCTGGGCTCCTTAATCCACTCCAGGCTCCATTCTTGGAGACAAAGTGGTCACAGGCTCTGCCTCACAGATCCTCGAAGGCAAAACTCAAACACTTGTCTTGAGGAATGAGCTGATTTGCAGAAGCACCTAAAACTGGTCTTTGAGAATTGTTAAAATTCCAGCAAACTGAAGGATGTGGAGATTTTAAATTTCTCTGATAGCTTTGTTAAGCCCTGATGTGGATATTTTGAACTGGTCTGATGGCTTTGTTAAGCCCTGATCTGCCCTGAGTTGGTGCAATGGATGTTTTATGATACTGAGGTTGGGCAGTCCTTTTATTTTGGTGTAACTGTGTTTTCCCAGTGAGCTGATTTCCAGTGTGTCCTGAGCACTGGTTTTTGGAAACGTGGAAGTGGGAAGGAATTCATTCCCCAGGGACAATCCTCACTACCTCTAAAGGAAAACTTTGAGGAAAATCCCCACTGCCCCACACCCCCATTTGTTAGATGAGTGTGGGAGGAGATGAGGGCTCTGGGCTGAGCATTCCCAGTTAATGACTCCAACTGGATCCCCTGTGGTCCTCAGCCCCTTCTCTAACCTTTCACAGCTACAATTCCACATGCAGCAAATTTATCTCTTCTCTGCTGCACCCTCAGATTTGTTTGCCAGGTGAATATCAGCCTATTTCAAACTCATTATTAAACTAATATTTTAATACTGCAGTATGGTGACTGTTAGTTGCTAAAGAATGTTATTCATAAAATCTCATTACTCTCAAAAATACCTGAATAAATGGATTAAACTAACAGAGAACTTTAATTTCATTCTTCTGCTTTATTTTTTTTTTCTAATGACTGTTAAGAAATAAAAACCCTTACTTCTTTTAAGGGCTTACATAAGAATATGTATTCAGCCTGAGAACTGTACTTTGGGAGCTGAGAGCCTTGCTGTGAGCTGCATGATCCCTCATGATTTTTTTTTTTACCCCTAAAAAGCTAATAATTAAAGGCTTTGTAGCTTCATTTGGCATTTGCAAGAACTGGGAGCCCTTGTTCTCAGGTTTCTGCTCACTGCTTATATAGAGATGATAAGGACATGATGAGGGGGATGATGGAAGTGGCAGCAGGGAAGAATTCCTGTCAGAGCAGGTTGTTCCCATTGCTGAGTTGTTCTTTGTGTTTGGTTTCAGCTCTCGTGTTGTGTCAGGCACAGGAACATCCACCCCATTTGTGTGTAAATCCATGGTGTTGGGGTTCTGGGAGATAACAGGCAGAGAAAACCCAGTGGCTGTGGGTCACAGCAGTGACAAGTGAGGTGGCTGCAGGGTCACACTGCTTGAATCTGGTTTAGAGCTGGATCTTCCTTTCTGCATGGCAAAGAAATCACAACTGCCTGGCAGGTAAGGGAAGATTTCAGAGCAGACACTGCAGAAAAATGATCTCTTAACTAATTCTAAACTCTGGGATAGATTTCTTTCACTTTTTTTAATGACTGCTTTACCCTGGACGATTTATAGACCCCGCTGGCTTAAAGTTGTGCTTAGCATTACTGAGCCCTGAAGATGTTTTCAGGTTTTTCACACACAGCACAGAGGACCCAGGATAGTTTTAAGTTTTGGGCTATGAAAATAAAACCAACTCTCCAGTCTTTATCTTTCTGCAAATAAGCTGATTTCAGAGGATAATTCTGTTCTGTTATCTCCTGTATATAATTCTCTAACTGGAAATCGCTTTCCAGAACAGCAGTTCATAGTCATTTTACTTACACAAGCTTAGTATAAGTTTACCTCCACTTTCACTGTGACTTTTATAAATGGATTTTGTTTTGCTGAATTATAAATTGTATGTGTCTATGCATTGTAACCCGTAATGCCTTTGAAAATCCAGCCTGGATGCTAATGATCAGGGTTTGGAATTATCTCCAAATGTGTTTTGTTAATAATTATCTTGACGTGTGATGTTCAATACTGTGAGTGCTGCAGTGTATTGTTTCTTAATACTTTTGACTTTTCAGTTCAGGCAATATATACTCCATATGTTTTTTATTTAAAACACATAGAAGAAAACGTGGATATAAAGGTTGTGTTGTGCAATAAAAGATTATGATACTGAAAACTGCTGGAATTCTGGCTCATCTGGTCTGGAGCCACTGCAGTGCTTTTCCTCACCTTCCCTGGGATCTGAGTGTGCTTTGCCTGACTGCAAATGAAAATTAAGACAGGAATCTCTGTCTCGGGCTGCTTTAAAGGCATTTAGTCGTCTATCATCACTTCCTGAGCAGAAGGCACTTGTGCAGCGTGTGCTGCCTGCCCGGGGACACCGACCGCAGCAGATCATTCCAGGGATTGCAATTCCATCCCTCCTCCCCAGCCATTCCTGTGACAGCACAGGCACGGCCCCAGCAGCTGCCCCTGGTTCTGCAGTGCTCAAAAAGAACCTTTCTGCCTGTGTTCAGGAGAGTTTTCCCCTAGTTCTGAAGTTATTTCCTTGCTGTCCATCTGTCCTGCTGAAGGGCTCCCTGTCTCACAGCGGGATGTCCGTGCTGAGAATAAAGAAAAAAAGAGGGGAGAAAAAAAAAAAGAGATGGAAACCAGTACACAACACTGTGCAACTGAGCATGGAAAGAGGAGTTTGAAACAGCAGCGCTTATTTTAGTATTTCCAATAGGCAGCTCTGGGGTGCTCGTGTGCGGCCAGGGCCGGGCCTTGGAGCCGGTGCGGGATGCGGAGAAGGAAGGGAGGCTGCAGTGTGGGAATTCGCTCCGCTGGGAGCGCAGATAACAAAAAGCTGAGAAGAGGGACTGTGGCTGTGCTCACACCAGCACCGCGGCCGCGCTCCAGCCCCGCTGGCCCTCAGCACCGCCGCTCCGCCCAGCCCGGCCGGGCCCCGCTTCCTTCCGGGCTCGGTCCCGCCCCGGAGGTGCCGCCCGCCCTTCCGCCGGAGCCGAGGGAGGGACCGAGGGAGGGGCCGAGCGACGCCGGGGCCGTGAGGGGCCGCGGCGGCAGCAGCGCAGCGGAGCGGCCGGGCCGGCCCCGCCGCCCGGGACAGCCGGTGAGAGCCACAGGGTGAGGGACAGCGGGGCCGCCCGGGGTCGGGGACGGCGGGGGCGGCCGTGTCCCCCCGGATATCGCTCGTCCTGAGGGTCGGGGGTCGGTGTCCGCCCCGCCGAGGGGCTTCACACCGGCCCCGCTGCCGCCTTGGGCCTGGGCGAGGGGTCCTGGGCCCCGCGGGGGGCAGCGATCGGGATAAACGCCCGGATAAATACCGGGATAAACACCGGCATGTGTGGAAACTTGGCAAACCGCCTTCCTCCTCCGTGTGCAGCTCCTAAAACTAATTTTTATTAAATGTATATGTATACTTTCATTCGGTGGGTCTGTGCCGGTGGTTAACGGGGTGCAGGTGGCACTGACAGCTGTGCCAGTATGTTCCCCCAGCCTGTTTTCCTCATGAGTTCCCTGTGGATCAAGGAGTTTTTGCCCTTCTTTTTGTAAGTATTGCCGCTGTCCGGCTGAGGATTAATGTCCTTTATGCCCAAGCCGGGGGAAGTTTGGAGAATTTTTAAGATGCAGAGCGGTGCGTTCTGAATGCTTTTGTGGGTGTTCGCCCTCCTCCATGTGCAGCTCCTGAAGCTAATTTTGATTATCCATATTTTAGTTAATTCCCTGGGCCTGTGCCTGTAGTTAACAAGGTGCAGGTGTCACTGATGGCTTTACCAATAGTCCCCCACCCCAGCCTGTGTTCCTGATGAGCTCCTTACGGCTCAATGAGGTTTTGGCTTTTTTCCTGTAAGTATTGTCCCTGCTTGGCTTGTCACTGCACATCTGAGGATCAAAGTCCTTTTAAGTCAAGCCAGGTGAAGTTTGGAGAATACTTAAAGATGCTGAGCAGTGCGTTTTGGACGCTGTTGTGGGTGTTTGTCGCTGCTTGTGGCACTGGAGAGTTCAGGTTGCTCCCTTGAAGCAGGGAGTGGCTCAGAGAGGGTGTGAGATACTGAGAGATGAATGATGTGCTTGAATTACCAAAGAAATCCTCTGAGGGGTTGGCTCAGTGCTGCCTGAAATCCTGCTGCTCTGTGGCAGGTGACTGGGTTGACTGGGAAGGCTTTATAGGCAAAATTAAATTGTTTTTTTTATTTGGCTGAGTGGGGCCCGGTGCTGGGAATTAGCAGCACTTGAACGGTTTGGGGGAAAAGGCTGGCACTGGGGAGGTTGTGATTTAAATCCATGATTGCCTTGCCATACTTTTGTTCGTTGGGCTCATTTGAAACTACTTTTGACGTGTGAAATTCCCCACACCAGGACTTTGAGGACTGCACTGAGCTCGTTTTGGTTTTCCAGTTACCCAGCACTTTTTTGAGACCAATGACCAAACCAGACCAGCGTGGAAGGATGAGGTGTTTCCAGGAACCGTGCTTTACTCAGGAATTGGATGTGCTGGCCTTCTGGACACGGTTACACAAGTGTTTTTTGCAGCAGGGATGATTAGGAAGGGAATTGTAGCTCAGTGGAATGTTTTGCTGACCAAGAAAAAGCCCAAAACAACACACAGTAGAAAGGGAGAGTAGGATAAAAAGCTAATTATACCAATTCCTAAGACTGCTTTACACAACAAACTGGTTATAAGCTTGAAGATAGTCCGTGATTCTGGTATTTAATTTTGTTCTGTGGTGTTATTTAAGCTAGAACAGCCTTTCTCAGCTCCTTCTTTCCTTGCTGTGTAATCCCCAATTATGCTTGGGGCTTTTTTTTTTTTTTTTCTCATGATTAACTAACTACGTGTGATCTGAAACAAGACCTAGAAGTTTTACTTGTGAAGTCATGTAATAATGCTACTTGTAACAAGTCAGGTACAAAGTGTATAAAACATTTTGAAGTTCTCTGAAGTTTTAGGCAACTTAATTTCTATCTGTGTCCAGGTGAGTGTGGTTGGCAGGACATAGTGTGTAGGAGGAGCCTGTTGCTGCTGTTTCTGAAGAGATTTTAGCAGTTTAAGCTAATCTTTTTGTTCTGACCTGAATTCCCAGTCAAGCAGCACAAACAGTTTTTAGATGTTTCCTGTGATTTCGTTTAAAGCACAGTTGTGGGTCACATGGAGATGGTGAGACACAGCCTGATCACTGATGTCATGGGGACAAACCAAACCTGTCCCCCTAGGCCTGTGCTGACATTTGAAGGGAAAACACAACTCCAAGCTGAGGAAATTGAGAGCCGGAGCCTTGTGGCCATTGGGATTTTGGAGCTTTGAAGCAGAGGCTTCAATTTCCCCTCCAAATGCCAGGACCCAGCTCTGTGGTTTGTTTGAAGTGGCTGCTCTGATGTTTCTCTTCTTGGGACTATTTTTTAGCAGCCTGCACTGTTTGTCCTACAACTGCTGTAGCTGAAATCCTATAATTGCAAGAAGGATGCGCATTAAAAGTGTGAGAGCTGCAGAGAGTGTTTCTTGCCTAATTCCCAACATGTCTAATGGCTTTTGTATTTTCTGTTCCCGAGCCTGAGATCATCCTGCCCCACCCTTTCCTTGGGAGGAAATTAGCTCATGGTTAATTACGCTGCAGCTAATTACATGCCTGAGTGTTTGGGGTTACACCTGAATCACGACTCTTTCAACACGTAGGTTGCTGCTCTTCAGCATTTTGGGGTGTTTGCGTCAGTGGTTCTTTGGAATAAATACATTTTCTATTGGCAAAATATAAAATACACCTTGACTCCATCTTTTGATGCCCTTTCTAACCTACCTCACAAATCTATTTTTAGTAATTAAAGTTGCTGGCTGCTGTCTTGTTCTGAATTATGATGGAGTATTCAAGCACCAGTAAAATGTGAACCAACAGCAGTTCATGTAAGAATTGTGTGTTTGGAGGCTTCCCTGGTTTTCTTTTTATTTGTATCTGCTGTAAAATTCCATTTCTGTGGATGGCCATTAATGATCAGAGAGCTGCAGTGAGTTCACAGTGAACACTCTTTGGGGCACTTTGATGTTTTTTGAATTAGAAGAATTCAAGTTGTTCATTAAGTGCTAGAGTGACTTTTGAAGAGCTGAATCACATTTGCTTCAGCCCAGTGAAAAAGCTGCTGTAGGTTGTTGCTGATGCCTGGGCCAAAATTTTTATTTTTTTTTTGGAGAAAACTTAATTTTAGGGAGGGAAGAAAAAAAACCACAAACCAATAACACAAAAAAAAAAAAAAAACCAAAAAAAAAACCCCCAAAAAAAAACCAAACCCAAAACTTCCCCACAACCCAAACCAAACCTGCCTGTTCCTGATCTGTGTTTTATGGTTTTGGACACATTTAATTAAGTTGTTACCAATACTGAACGCATTTATAGAAGTTCAATTATAGAATTAAAGCTACTCCTTTAATGTCCGGGGTTAGTTTGTGGAGTTACTTAAAAACTGCTCTTCACAGCTTGTAATAATTATAAATTGATTTCAATTAGCTCTTACTGAAGGTGTTTATTGATTGATTTAGCAAGAGCCTTTCTGTTCAACTTTGAATATGAGCTTTTCCAGCCAGCTCTCAAAGGTGACCTCAGCAATCCAGGACTAGTAAATAGTTTATGAGCCAGCAGGTATCTCCTCACAATCTGCACTGGTAATAAAGGTACAGATCATTTTGCCTGCTCCAAGCAAGGCAGGGAGATGGAAAAGAACCAGAAAACCAGCTGGGGGTGTTGGAGCCCCTGGTAAATCCCTGCTGCTCCTAAAGCATCTTTCACCCAACCCTTTTCCCCAAGCCAAAGCTGTGTCTGCAGGCTTTGTGCTGTGAGAATTTCTTGTGTTTCTTGCTGAAAAGAAGCTGTTACATAAGTTTAGGCTTTCATGTGTGCATTAAATCAGCCCTGGGTGACTGATTTGGGTTGGAGGAACCCTTTTTTTTCCTACCACATAAAAGCTGGGGATGCATCTGCTCCTTGCTGTGACTGATACCTGATTTTATATATTTAATATGAATTTTCTGGTTATTTTCTAACTTGGTTTGTGTGAAAATGAAAATTTAGTATTTTGCTGTTACTGAGCTACAAAAGGTCCCAAGTCCTGGAGGAATGATTGCTGCTCATTCATGTTTCCTGCATCTTAACTCTCTCTGTGTTGTCTCCAAGGTGGTTCAAAGTGTGTGACAGGGAAAGTGAAGTGGCTCATAGCCAGAATATTTTGCAGGGAAGTTGGTTTTTGTTCCTGGTGGTGGTAACTGAAACCCTGCAGTGTTTGCAGACATTCTCAGTTTCAGCTTTACAGAGCCACGGAGGGCAGGCAGCTGCTTTGTCCTTCCTGAAAAATACTCTGTGACTCCCCGTTTTCTGAAGGGAGAGCTGTGGTTTGTCTCCTTGGATGACAGACTGGACAGGAAAAAAATTCAGGGATGTGAACAAGGATGAGAAATCTCTGAGTTGGTATTGCCCTTCTTAAAAGGTGTTTGCTCTGAATGGATGAATAAAAAGAAAAAGAAATTATGTAAGTGTGGGTAGAGCGAGAAAAAGATGTTGATAGGAAGATGTATTTGAGAGCTTCAGAAGAAATTGCATTAAAGCCAGTAGAAAGCTAATTTTGAATTAAACCACAGTGATTTGGTGGTTTTTTTCATCATAACAAAACTACTGTGAGATGCTCTAAAAAGTCTGGAGCTGATCTGATCTGTCATTAGAGACCTTTGATGTGCAGCCCTGCAGATAGATCTGATTTAATATGAATCATAGGCCTCCTTTCCTGTTGATTTCAGAAGAATTTGGAAAAATAAAGCTGGACATGCAGATCATGGAGGTTCAAACTGGGAATTCTTGTGTCAGGAAGACAGGGAGCATTTTGGTGTCCACAGCCAGCAGTGGGACACCTTTCCAGGCTGTGATTATCCCAAATAAATCCCTTGGGAGACAACCAGCATGTGTGAGGTGTTCTTTAAAAATCATAAAAAAGAGTTGGGAGATTTCCATTTTTCCATTTCAGCGGAGAACAGGAGACCAGAAGCTTTTGCTTGCAAATAAGTAACATTAAGTAAAGGCATTTTATAAATTAATAACTAAGTTTAAGAGCCTATTCTTTTCCTAAACTCTTCAAAGGGGTGTTGCTAATTAACACAGCTAATAAGGTGTGATGAGGTCTGGTCCTGGCACAGAAATGCTCAAAAGAAGGTTCTGTCTCATGGTGTTTGTGAGGTGTCATTCTTGCCTTCCCTGATGAGATGCCCAGCAGAGCCTTTTGAAACACTCACTAAGCAAAGCAGTGGATGAATATATTTTAAATTACATTAAATGTTGCTCCTGGGAGGGAGATGTGGTGATGCAATAGGATGTTTGGTGCAAAGCACCTCTCCAAATCGTAGTTAATGTTATTTATGATCTTCTGGTCCTTTATTGTACTTCTGGATTCGATTTATTTTTTTATTTTTTTTTTTTTTAATGTGGAAGTTTGTTACCTTCCTTATGTTCTGACTTCTCAGTGGGCAGGTGGTGTAAAGGTGTTTGGAGTTGCCTGCTCTCCAAACTCCAGAAAAACAACAAATTTAGGGTTTTCATTTGAATTGAAGTTAGAAGTGAGCGTTGAGCATGCCATGCATTCAGGGCAGGAGTGAAAATAAGAGATCTGACCATGCAAAATGTGAGGTGTGACTGTGCAAACACTCTGAGGAGGTGATTGTTGGATAAGGAGTGATCACCTTTAGCTGGAGTGGGAGGGAGAGAAAGGAGGGGAAAAAGCATTTCAGACACTCAACAGCACCAAAAACCACATTTTTATTATGTAATATTATAATGTAAGCAGTTATTTACTTGCCAAAAATTAATATTATGAGGGTTTTCTCACATTCATTTTATCAAAACCCGAGTTGTTCTCTTTATTAAAATATTAATGCTGACCTGCAGAAATCATCTGGGAAACTTTTTTTTTTTTCACAAGGGCGTTTTCTGTGTGAAGGGAGGCGAAAGTCTCAGCTTTGTGTGCAGCATGTGACTCCTTGCTGTGCATCAGGGTGACTCCTGTGTCCCCACACCGGGGCTGGTGGCACTGCCAGCACTCGGACGGAGGGCAGGGCTCTTGACTTTGCAGCTCTTTGCAGCCCTGCTTTGCTCCCTCTGGGCAAAACTGCTGAGCAGAACTTTATTTTTAGTTTAATGTACACACACAGGGTGCCAGAGGGATCGGTGGCACAAAGGGGATTTTTGTGCCTCTCTGGAGCAGTGAAAGTGCCCAAGTGGCAGAGAAACCGTGCTGTGTTCTCAGGTGTTGGGGTGGGAGAGAAGCAGGGTCAGGTATTTCATTCTACTCCTTTAATTTTCAAATTAGAGTCTGGAATGTGGTGCTTTTGAATGAGAACAGACACCTGAATTCTTGGAATTATTGCAGTTCAGAGTTGTTACTCTGTTCTGTTATAGGGTTTTGTTTCCTCTGGTGACAGAGATCCCTGTAAAATTTTTGGGAAGTTTGTGATATGAGAATGTTTTTATTTATTGTGTTTTTGTAGTTTACACTGAAAACATTGACAAATCAGCTTTGCATTAATGGCAGTTAAACATTTGATGAATATTTATAGCATTTTTTTCTAAAACAGGCACCAGCAATAGAGGTCTCTGGCCAAAATGCTGCTGCAGCTTCTGCTTTTGGGAAGTGGTCATGAAAATGAATCAGTGAAGAGTTTCAGCTTTTGCTTCCCATTTCTTTTCAGAATTGTTGCTCAAGGACATGAGTGACGCTCTGGGAATGGCCTGAGTGTGCAAATCCTGCCAAAATGCAATTCCTGCCCAGGCTGTGCAGCTGACACACACTGAAAGTTTAATTTCTGAGCTCTGAGGTGTTGGCAGCCAGGGGCTCCCACACAGACCTTCCTTGAGAAGTCAGGAAATGAAACCAAAAATTGTTGTGAAAGCAACATATTTGTGTTTCTCAGTTATTTCTGCATATGTTAATGAAATAAAGCTCTCAAATGTTTAAAATATATGGGGTTTTCCCCCCATTTTTCTCTGCAGCAGCACAATATTGACTGTCAGACTCTTCAGTATTCAGAAAGTTTTCAGCTGCTCTCTCATCTATAAAAATGAGAACATGCAGCAATAAATTATGTCATTAAGAAATTAATTCCCTTAATATGCATGTCTCTACAATGAAACTATTTTTAGGTTATTTTTAGAAACTCTATTTCTTTCAAAAATAGAAAAGTGGAAGAAATCTTAACACTTACATAGATAAGATGGGATATTTAATTTGTTCCCCCTTCAGAAAAAATAATGTGTTTCCTGTTACTTTGCTTAAAATAACTTGATTAGATTAATGGGAAATGTTAAACATTATCAGTATTTTAAAATGGATAATTGAGCTTGGAACAAAAGAGCTGGAACTTCCTGTAGTAGAAAACTCTCAGTGATATTTGTGCATATTCCATCTTTTGCTGGATGATCCAGAGAAGAGTTTGGGGTGGAATTCCAGGGGAAAAGACAATAGCTCTGATTCAGTTACTGATGTTCTTCAGATTGCGAAAATCCCTTTTCCTCTTGCTTTCCATACGTGACACCTCTGGAATGGCAGGAAGGGAAAGGGGCTGGATTTACTGGACAAAACCTTGCTGTGCTATTTCTGCTGTCAATGTTTGACAATATTGCAATCCAAATATCAATATTTTAATGTGCACACCTTAACCTTGCTGGTGCAGATACTCCTGTGCTGTTTTCTCCTCAAATCACTCCAGCATTTCCCATTAGTAGCAGGGAGCTGGAATGTGGGATGGTTTCTGTCAGGAAAGGAAGAGGAGGCTGAATGCTCCAAGACAGGCTTGGCAGGGTGCTGGTGTGGGCAGGAGAATCTTTTTGTTGCAGTCACTGAATATAAACCCCCCAGAGCTATGCTGTGTTTAACTCTGGCAGGACTTGCAGGAGATGGGGATGTGCCTTGGCCATGTGTGGATGTGCCCAGCTGGGTCAGCTGTGATTCCTCACTGGGCCCTGAAGACACTTTTGGCGGCCAAAGATCCCTAAACCCTCACCAGTGTGGTTCTGTGTGGGCACAGTCTCAGATCACAATATATTCTATGTGCTTTGTTGGTTTTTGGAACTTTATTTCTTTCTTTTCCCCATTGCTTTGTGCCTCTGGCTGTCAGAACAAGGTGGTGGTGAGAGTAGAGCCTTGAGCTTTTGTTCCCTGGCTGTGGGACTGTCACTGCAAAGATGTGCCTTGGCAATTTGTCCCTTGGTTGTGGGACTGTCACTGCTGCCCTGGGACTCTTTCTGGAGCTGTGTGGGGGTCACAGCCCTACAAAGACATGCTCGTGCTGCCCCTGGCTTTGGGGCTCCTGGTTATGTAACTGTGCCCTTCCTCCCGTGGCATTCATTTTGTTGCTATGGAGCTGTTAAATAATTCAGGCAGGTGACTCCTTTCCAAAGGCAAACCCTCAGAAGAAATGATTTCTAGCGGGCTGCTGCCACGCTCGTGTTTTTAACCCTTCTCCTCTTCCGCCAGGAGGAAAATGAGCCTGAAATCGGAGCGCAGAGGAATCCACGTGGATCAGTCGGAGCTGCTGTGCAAGAAGGGCTGTGGTTACTATGGCAATCCTGCTTGGCAGGGATTTTGCTCCAAGTGCTGGAGGGAGGAATACCACAAGGCAAGGCAGAAGCAGATTCAAGAGGATTGGGAGCTGGCAGAGCGGTAAAGAACCTTCTTTCTTCCTTCAGGGTGACTCCACCAAATTCTGTTCCTGCCTCCTGTTTCCTAGTCCTGTTTGCTCTGGCTCAGGTTCATCACAAATTCCCCAATTTGACCTTTCCAGCAGGAATTCAAACCTTCCTTTTGATGTAAAGATGAATATTTATGACGTTCTAGTATAAGAGGTGAAAAGACAATCTGGGAAGGAACAAATGTAAACAGAGCCAAATCTCCCAATGAATGCTTCGACCTAATTTGCATATGCAAATCTGTATTTCTGTCTAGCAGTTAGAAGGGTTAAAGGGACAATTTTGATTAAAAATACCCTCTGGAGATGGCAATTATTTTCTTGGGTGTAGGCAGCACCATGATTTTGCATTCCACTTGCTGATTAAAAACTGGTTTTAGTCTTGTCTGTGGTCATTGTTTTCAACTGCAGACTCAAGCCCAAGAACATAAAAGCTTTAGCTTTGCTAATTTAGGTAATTGTCTAATCACTTATTTTCTGCAAACCAATCTCATTTTCCTCGTGTGATAAACGCTTGACCCTGAAAATGGAAGATGTGTTTTCAGAGGTCATGTCATTGTTTTCCTCTGCCATAAATGTCTTCAGCAGTTAATAAAAACTTTATTATTAGGGCAGATAGTTATGCTGCCAGTCTTGGATCATCTCTAAAACAAAGTGGGGTATTTTAAGAATTTTCAATGAGTAGCTGGGAGACGCTAAAGGCACAGATAAGCTGTGATTGTTTGTTGCAGTGAACAGACAGGCTTGTCAGCACTGATAAGATACAATTCTTGCCTCAAGAGATTGTAGATCCCAGACTATTTATGGTCCATCCTGAGCTGGAGGGATGTTTAAAGACAATTATTCTGCCTCCCAGCATCTTGAAGGGAGATAGAATGTAGCCTATTTGAATACTCCTACATAGGAGAAAAGATTGCAGGATTGGTGAGTTTGCCCTCCTCTACCTTAGATTAAAAACTTGGCCTTTCAAACTTTGCCTCATCCATTCAAGCAGATATTTATTACCAAAGCAGATTGTGACAACAACGATCTCTTTCCCAAAGTACTCCTGAGATTGGGACACAGTATTTTGCTTTTGTAAGATGGGGAATGACTGCCTGAGGTAACAGGCTGGGGAACTCCGTGTGAGGCAGGGAGGAAGGCAGTGAATCTGCTGCTGGAAACCCTCCCCTGTGCCTTTAGAGAATTCAGAGTGTGACACGAGGGGAAGGTGACCATGGTTAAACCTCAGTCTTCTCCCTTATGACCTCACTATTTAACCCTGAGCTTTCCCTCACTGCAGCAGGGAAGGGGTGGGTGTCCTGTAGTGAAGGGAGATAGGCAGCAGGAAGAATTAACATGTCAAATGAGTAATTAGTGATTGCACAGGAAATCAGCTCCTTTGTCTTGTTTCTAAGGCCTTAAATCAAACCTGTATTTCTCTAACTCCAGGCTCCAGCGTGAGGAGGAAGAAGCCTATGCCAGCAGCCAGAGCACCCAAGGGGCACAGTCCCTGACCTTCTCAAAGTTTGAGGAGAAGAAAACCAATGAGAAAACAAGAAAGGTCACTACTGTGAAGAAGTTCTTCACTGCTTCCTCCAGAGCAGGAGCTAAGAAGGGTAACTCCCCTTTGCTCTTCATGCTTCTGTACATTTTAAAACTAAAAGCTTTTGGCAGATGTGTTGTTCTAAAAGGCAGATTAATGCTCTGTGCTTTGACTTTCAAAAGTTGGAATAGTGATGCTTCTGGAGACTGATTGTTACTGAAAACACAGAAAAATGTGAGTGATGCCAAACAGTCTTAAATGGAGCAGTGCCCTGCTAAACCTGTGTTTGTATGTGATTATACAGGAGGTCTTCCACTAAACAGCATAAATGTGTTCCTGGTGGTGGCACTGCGCTGCTGAGGGGAAGTTCCTTGTTCCTCTGGCACACATTCCAGTGAAATTCCTGATTCAGCCATGGTGTCACACCAGGATTTAGGGCTGGAAGGGGAATTCCTCCTGGACAGAGCAACAGAGAAGGTGCTGGCAGTCAGTCACCTCAACAAGCTGCTGTGTCTGAGTGTGATAGAAACCCTGAGATAAAATATCAGCTGATGCTGCCAGAGTGCCTCACTTTGACAGGGAGAAATGGGATGTGTGAGCTGGGTGCCTTGAGCTGCACATAAATGTGAGGCTGGCAGTGTTTGTGTGGGCTGGGAATATCAAGTTTGTGGCTGGCTGGCTGTTTGTTCTACAGAATGTGTTACAAGCAGGAGTGATGAATGGCACTGCTGGCTTTGCATAGCAATAGCTCACACAGGCAAAAGCTGGGAAATGCTGGGCTGTGGAGGAGGAATTCCAGAAGGAAAAGCAACATTAATCTGTCTTAACCTTAGAGACCATGCATTTCCCTAATTTGAAATTCAGCATTTTTCTGATTAGAGTTGTCCTGGTGCATGGCAGCAGCTGGCTACATGAGGCATTCATTCACCTGTGGTTTTGGTTTTTTAATGTTCGTTTTTCTCACTTTCCATCTTTTCTTTTTTTATCCCTTCACCACCTGTTCTGCCACGCTCCCACTCTTGGTGCCTTGCTTGCTTTGGCCTTTTTATTTCAGCAGCTCAAGAGAAAACCCCTAAGCAAGGACAGCTTGGGAGGGAGAGAAATGCTGATAACATTCTCAGGGATTTGAAGGAGATTTTTACTCCCTCCTGGGAACTGGCTTCCCCTTCTGAAGGTAATGCAGCACAGCCTGGGCGAGCTGTCTGCCTGGTTTTAGTAAGCTTGGCTCTTAGTTGGGCTTTGCTAAACACAAACTAGGGTTGTGCCAGTTGTAACTTCGCTCTTCAGCATGAAGATGGCAAAAAAAGCAAGTCCAGCATCCTGAGGTGATGTTGAATCTTTAAAACAATTCTTTGCTTTTTAGTAGGGAGTCATAGGAGTAAAGCTGAATCATCATTGAGCTCCCCCTTAGAATTAGGATAAAAAAACCCAAAATTTTGTAAGAATTAGCCAAATCTTGTGCTGCTTTGTTTTTATTAAAAAAAAAATAAATCCAAGTTGCTGTTACAAATCTGATTATTATGAGTCAAAACTATTGAAGTTGGCATTTCAAGAACTTTGGCATTTTCAAAATGTCTCCAGATGTTTTTTATATAAACCAAGAAGAAAATTTCCCATCAAGAGGAGACACTGGTTTAATTTAAACCAAAAGGGACACCAAACCCCTTGATGCAAACAGCTCTAAGAGCTCATCCTCCATTATTTGTTTGCAATCCTGGCTTGTTCTGCTGGCAAAAGAAACATTCAGATGTTTATTAAGTTGCAGGAAGGTGATGAAGGGCTGTGTGTAACAGAGCTGGTGACAAACCCTGTTTCATATTCCGTGCTTGGACTGGGCTCCATGGCCATGGCACAACCATAGTGAATCCCTGGAGTGCTCCTGTTCTGCTGTGACAAGTGGCTTTCCTGTAGAAAGATTTAAATATTAATTATGTTTATTCTTTGCAAAGCCGATCCTTCCTTAACTCTTCCCATGCTCGCTCCTGGCATTTTGGCATTTTCCTCTGCTGGGCTCTCTTTAACTTGTTGGAATTCCTTGGCTGTAATCAGCTTCTTTTTAGTTAGACTGAATTTTTTGAGAACATAGGACAAACTTGAGGATTTTTTGTTGCTGGAAGTTTATTTGTTCCTGCAGCCCTTGGTAATCAGTGCAGATTAATTTTCCTTAAGTCAGGGTTTCAGCTCTGAGATTAGTGAAGCTGCAACTACCAGTGTAACTCAAGTGTAATTCTTGGTGTAACTCATTAAAAGGCAGTTCATTCTAATTAACATTCACTTTTTAATACTTAATATTAATCTGCCTCAGTTGACTACATCTCTCTAGTAACTAAACAACAATCCAGTTTGAATTTGTAACTGAAAAAGTAATATTCACATTCCTTAAGGTCAAATAGTAAAATAAGGCTCATTATTTTTATATAAGAGTGAACTCATTGTTGAAGTAAGTAAATAAACCTTCAGCTGTACTGTGAAATGAGATCAGTGGTTAATCCTGGAAGAAATATCTGATAATTCTGCCCTTTTCTTTGTTTATTATTTCCAAATAAGCTTTCTGCTTCTCTGATGTTAAATGTCACAAATTTCATAAAGGCCACCCTTCAGCTGGAATCCTGTGTAGAATTTGGGATCCATCCAGTGAATCTTAGATATAAAGGCAATGGAAGGAAATGCCCTCTGGAAAAGTGTCCTTGAGTAACTAGAAAGGAGTTGGATTTGCACTCTCTATCTCAATTGCTGCAGTTGGAGTTTAAATATTTGCAAAACCTGTTATTGTTCTGGGCACTGAAATGCCAGAGGTGCTCTGATGGTGCCTGACCAAGTTTTTCCCTGTGCTGAAGTGTGGAGCTTTGGTCAGAGGAGCAGAGTTTGGTATTCACTGGGTGACACAACCTTGGATTTTCTGTAGTACTGAATCTCTTTAAAAACAAATAACAACCAAAAAAAAACCCACTAAGCTCTCTAATCCAAATTAAACCAATTTAAACATATTAATCCCATTTCTTTCTTTTTCCTTTGGAGTTCTGCATGCTTGTTGAAAGCAGGATTTCTGTGCATGTGAAGTGTTTTCAGGTTGAAAGCCGTGTTTGTGTCGTGCTGACCATGAATATTTTCATGTTTTCTGTCTCTCTGCTGCTTGCCTCTCACCACGTTCATTTCCACCACCTCTATTCAATCCCTCCATTTCCAACAGCGTTGGCTGGCAAGCTGAAAGGTGGGTGAAGGTATTGGAGCAGCACAATTAACTTGGAACTTGGAAAATCAGATGTTTTTGTGGGAAAACCCCCCATGGGTGCAGCTCTGACAACTTGCAGTGCGTGTTCCTTGAGCAGAACTGCCCTGAGCTGCTTGGGAGGTGTTGGTGCACGGAGTGTGGAGGTCAGGGAGAGTGGGGAAACCACCCCATTATCTTTAGGAACCTGCAGATTCCCAGCTGGAAACCTTAAGTGGGATGTCTGACCTGGGAGTGAGTGTAAAACCCAAAAGCAACCCTGTGTTGCAGTCACTTGTAATATAAAAAGGCCATTAGTGTGAACAGGGGTGTGGATCTCAACATTCCACTTCAGTGGGATACTCAGTTTTCCTGGAGATGTTTAATAATTACTGCTGTGTTTAATAATATCCTGCATTTCCCTGGCAAAGCTTGAGAAATAAATGACCAATTGTCTGCACAGCTACAAAGAAAAAAAATAACTCAAAATGATAAAACCATTTGGAAACTATCCATTGGTGTAAAAAGCTGATGTGCTGTGCCCTGAATTTTGCTAGCAGAAATCCAGGAGGCCAAGGCTCCCAGCCCTTCCATCCACAGGCAGGCCAGCATCGAGACAGACCGAGTGTCCAAGGAGTTCATAGAATTCATCAGGACATACCAGAAGCCTGGCCAGGATATCTACAAGCAATGCAAACTCTTCTTGGACAGCATGAGTCACAAAAGGGTGAGCTCTGAATGCCTCTTGTCTCAATAAAATGGGGGAACTGGGGAGAGAGGGAGGAAATGCTGCACTTCTTCCAGCAGGTTGGATTTTCTGGAGTGGGGCAGGAGCCTGCAGATGATTGGATTAATCAAATTAAGATCTAGGTGCCTTGTTTTTTTGGTTGAGACCATGCTTCTAACCCCAAGCATGCCAGATAAATTAGTCCTGACTAAATCCCACATGAATTAATCCGTTCAGCAATATTCTACATTAATATGACTTGTGGAAATTATCTAAGATACCACCTGGTGAGTTTTTAGATATCACATAGTGGTTTGGGTTGGAAGGGAATTAGAGATCATCTGGTTCCATGGGCAGGGACACCTTCCACGGTCCCAGGTTGCTCCAAACCCCATCCAGCCTGGCCTTGGACACATCCAGGGATGAGACAACTTAAGCCTAAAAACTTCTAAAGATAATTCAGTACCAACCCACCCCTCTCCTTTTATTGGGGAAGGGGAAATTGACTGTGCTGCTTTTTTTAAATAAGAAATAAGTGTTATGTCTTCATTTTCCATTAAAAAAAAAAAAAATCAATGTTCTTGAAATATTAATCAATCTGTGGTGCCACCTATGGTTGGAATGAGTCAGAATTCAGCACAACTTTTTTTTCCTCCTCCCCTTCTTCTCCCTTTCCTATTTAGTTCCTCAAATTGTCTCCTCATGAGTTCTCATGGAATCTTACATTCCCTCTACTTTGAAATCTTCTTGAACTTTTATTTCTTTTCTTTTAGACCTGTTCATTATGAGCACAGAGTTTGTGAGAACAGCGTGGGTTTTTTTTGGCTTCGAGCACCGAAGGTGTTCTCATTTCCTATTTCAGCCTTCTCAAAACATGGGATTTTTTACTACACACAAACCAGGCCTAAAATCCAATCTCAGCAAGAACTGGGACTTGTGTTCAGGAAAATGTCCAAGTTTTTTGCTTTAGAGAATTCAGAAATCAAATTCTCCCCCCACTTTTTAAAATAATGATTCATTATTAAAGTAATATAATTTATTTTTTTATTTTATTATTATTTTTTTGTTTCATTTAATGATTAAAATTGCCTCAATTAAGTTAATTTTAAACCTTCAAACCTCTGTTATGTTCTTCAGGAGCTCGGTTAGCAAAAGCCAGTGTTGTTTTCACCAATATCACTGTGAATATATTTCACAGTAACTTTATCATCAGAAATGTCTGCTGTAGAGATATTCCTTCAAATAATTGATCTTTTTGGGGGTTTTATAGACTATAAATTGTCTTTTAAAAAATCAGAGGTTAAATAGGGACAAACATGTTGCTTAGTCAGAGTTATTTTGTCAGTGCTCCTCAGGGGAAAAAGCCATTGCACCTGTGCTAATCCATTTATTCAGTAAATCAGTACAAATCTTGCACACATTAAAGAGCCAGTGTTGGCTTCTCCTATTTTTAAATAAAATTGAGCCATTATAAACACATCTGATGACACCTGTGCATTCTCAGACTGTTACTGCAGCTGGACACTTCTTAAACCAAAACAAAACATGAGGTGTTGCTGCCAGCTCTTCACACTTAATCCTTGTTCTCTTGCAGGATTTAAGCATTGAGGAGCAATCTGAATATGCCCAGGACTTCTACCAAAACATAGCAGACAGGCTGCAGACACGTTGGAAAGGTACCAAGTTCTTCTTTTTCATCTTCTCCTGCTCCAAAAGCAGTGATGTGAAACTAAAGCCTCCTGAATTTTCAGTTAAAGCAAAGTATCCCCAACTTTTAGAAATGCTGGGAACAGGTTCTGGTACCAGAATTAGAATTGTTCCCTCTAGGAAATTTTGCTGTCTAAATACTTGTTTTTACAGCTTTCTTTTAAACTCTCAGTGGAGTTCTGCCCATTTTATTTTTATTTCCCATCATATCCATTTATGAACTCAGGTTGGCTTGAATGAGTAATATTAATTTGATGATATTGGGATTAAATCTTCCAAAGAGCCCTGAAATATTTAATTTGTGGGATTTGTCCCTTTCAGTGCCCCCTGAAAAAGTGGAGAAGGCAATGGATGAGGTTGAGAAATACATCATGACTCGACAGTATAAATATGTTTTTTGCCCTGAGACAACTGATGATGAGAAGAAAGACCTTGCTGTTCAAAAAAGGATCAGGTAAGGCTCGAAAGGAAAAATAATTGAGTAATCCCAAATTCTCTAAATGAGCTCTGAATCAACCATGTTAAAAAAACCTCGTGCTGTGCACAGAAAAATGGCTTGTTAAGGGCTCAAACTATTTTATTTAAAAGACAGAATGAATTAATAGGTGGGATAATGACAACCACTAGACTGAGAAAATTTGCTTTTGTTAAATCACAGCCAAAAAAAAATTTTAAATATGTAAGTACTTTCTCTGAAAATAAATTACTTCAGTGGAATAAACTGGTTTATGGCTGGAATAATGCCTGGATCACACAAAGCATTCCTTGTGCCCTGAATTCAGGAAACAGCTGGTTTCAAACACCTGGATGGCACTGAAGAGTTTAACCCTTTGTTTCCTGTCCCAGGGCTTTGCACTGGGTGACTCCCCAGATGCTGTGTGTTCCTGTCAGCGAGGAAATTCCAGAAGTCTCTGACATGGTTGTAAAGGCAATTACAGGTTTGTGAGTGATGAATTCTATGTTTACAGCTTTGAATTTCATCTCTCTTGCTTGTTGAGGTTATTTTTGCTGTCATCAGGGGGGCTCCAAGCTGTTAAATATGCAGGAATCTTTGTGGGTTTGGGATTTCATCTGGAGCAGGGATAATTTTCCACACTGAGGTGCTTAGGCTTGTCTGATCTACTTGAAACACTTCCCCACAGACAGAAATGATGCAATATCAAAATTACCCAGTAAATCCTGCTTATTCAGTGCCTGATGAATACAATTTGAATGATTTTTTTTCTATTTTTCCCCTCCCAGATATCATTGAGATGGACTCCAAGCGCGTCCCTCGGGATAAACTGGCCTGCATCACCAAATGCAGCAAGCACATCTTCAATGCCATCAAAATCACCAAGAATGAGCCAGCCTCTGCTGATGATTTCCTGCCCACCCTGATTTACATCGTGCTGAAGGGGAACCCCCCTCGCCTGCAGTCCAACATCCAGTACATCACTCGCTTCTGCAACCCCAGCAGGCTGATGACTGGGGAGGATGGATATTATTTCACCAACCTGGTGAGTGCAGGAGGAGGGGTGGGGCTGGTCAGCAAGGTTTGGGGTTTTTTTTGGAGGTAGGAATTGCCAGCAAAGGGGACCATAAATTAAAATTAATCTTCAAGCAGTGGTTGAGGTTACCTAAGAGTACAGCCAATTTTATTCCCTCTCTCTTCCTTCTCTGCTGTCCAAACCAGAGTTTTGTTTTCTTATTTTGTAGCCTTAAACCCTTGGTTTGCAAAGTCTCATGCTAAGACTTGGGTGTATTTTTATCCTGCAAGGTCAGGACTTTCTGTTCCTCAAGCCCTGAGTTTGGGCTGTGTAGATGTTCCAGATGCAAAGTCCCCTCCTTGAGCCCAGGAGAGTTTCTTGAAGGCCCTGCAGAATTAGGCCATTTGTGTGTGGAGGTAAACAGGTTTTTTACAGCTCCTACAAGAGGCATTTCTTGGTGTGCTCTGCATTTTATCATAAAGAATCCTGGAGGGAAATTACAGAGTTGGATGAAATGCTTGGAATGTTAAAAGTTGATTTCAGTAGGAGCAGAGCATCCACCAGGTGAGCTGGGCTTTTGACGTTCCTTCCTTTAGGAAATTAATTAATCTGCAGATCAGATCTCTGCTGATCAGATAATTAAATATTAATACACTGCTCCTGTCTCCTTGGCATGTTCCTGCTGCTCCCTCACCTCCCAAACACAGAGACCCTGAGGTCTGGAATGTACCTTGGCAGCTCAATTTTTGATTTCTTCAAACTTTTAGGGAGAGGAAAGAGTTGTATGAGGTGTCTGATAAAATTAACTTCTGGAAAAGCTCATTTAGGGCATAAAATAAAATATTAAGAAATCAGTTTCTGGTGTAAGAGGAGGGTAAGGAATAGCAAATGGATACAGTCCAGTCTGTGGTGATTCCAATCTTGCAGTGATGCTCTCTCTGTTTTGTTTGCAGTGCTGTGCTGTGGCCTTCATTGAAAAACTGGATGCTCAGTCTTTAAATCTGAGCCAGGAAGATTTTGATCGTTTCATGACGGGCCAGACCTCCCCAAAAAAGCAGGAATCTGACAGTTTCTCCCCTGATGTGTGCCTGGGGGTGAAGCAAATGTGCAAAAGCTTAGACCTCCTCTCTCAGTTGAATGAGAGACAGGAAAGAATTGTCAGTGAAGCCAAGAAGCTGGAGAAAGACCTCATCGATTGGACTGATGGGATCACCAAGGAGGTGGAAGATATTGTGGAGAAATATCCCTTAGAAATAAAACCAAAAAGTCAAGCCTTAGCAGCCATTGACTCTGAAAACGTGGAGAATGACAAGCTGCCCCCACCACTGCAGCCTCAGGTTTATGCAGGATAATTATCCTCAGCTAGTTGGGAGGGGAAGGAAATTTAAGGCTTGAAAAATACAGAAAGAGCTTAAATCAGTACATTTTTAAAGGTAATTTTGGGGTTTTTTTGCTTTTTTTTTTCTTGGTTAAGTGTAATGAATTGTATTTATTTTAGTCTTGTAGATTTCTATTAGGCTTTGGTGGGTTTTTTGAACTGAATTTCGATTTTCTACGCAAACTGGTGTAATTTTTAAGCAACACTAGTCCATTGACATCTCTCCTGAAAGCTTCCTTCTAAGCATGCACTTGTTTTTAATAATTAGTTTAACTTGAAGCCAAGTTCCAGCAGGAAAAAAAGGTACCAATGTTTAGTCTGAACTTATTCTGTAGCTGTAAAGATGAACTATATATTGTAAAATATGTAAAATTGTAAATAGATTTCAAATCTAATGTCCCAACCGTGCATGAGCTCGTGTGTGAGTGAAAATGATCTCAGAATATTCATTTTAGCACCTTTCACTTCCATCATGTTGCAGTAAAAAGGCAAAAAAAAACCTGTTGGAGTTTGGATAACCTGGAGGGGAGAACTGAGGAATGACAGAGGATGTTGTTGGAGTGATTTGCAAACTTGAAAAATCATCTTAATCTGCTTTGTTAAAAAAAAATATTTAAAGGATGCCATTTCTTCATTTAAATGCTCTGTCAGAACACCTGCTAGCATTGAGTGGTGCAGAAAAATGCTGATTTTACTGCTTTGGAGGGGAATGTGGGGCCAGAAATCAGAAATATTTCAGGAATAGAATAATTATTTGTATTAAAAACTGCATAATATGGAACAAAAAAAGGGGGACAGGAAAGAGACCATGAAAGAGTTGCTCCAGAAGTGTCTCTCTCTCCTGGTTACTTCCATCAGTGGGATAAATTTTGGTTGCTTTTTTTGACAATCCTGGGAAATAAATAAATTCATACAATTCGAGGTTGCTTTTCAGAAGGAGCAGGAGCAGAAAAATGCACTTTATTTCCATGAAACATCAACGTTCTGCTCTTCAGTGACCCCCTTAGCACCTTGAACAGCGAGCTAAAAATGGCTTTGTGTCACTAAAAGTCACTAAAATTCAGATCGGGGTGAAAGAAGAGCTCACCCCACAAAAAGCAGCCTCTCACAACAGAACTTTGAAACTCTTTCCGTGTCATTTGAAATCTCTTCCAGCTCCATCCAGCCCTGGCTCCTTCGTGCACCTGAGATCTCAAACACGAAGCTCAGCTGGAGCTGCTTTTAAGCGATGTTTAATTCTTGCCATCGAGGAGGAGAGCGCCTACCTCTTGATTCATTCCCACTTCATTAAAGTACTGCTCCTATTAATTTTGCACTGCAATAACTTCAGACCACGACTGTGATTTCTCCCTTTTCTGGCAGTTTTTAGCCTTTTTATGAACTATGCACCACCCCTGGTGTTCCATAGAAGCAGCTGCAGCGCTGGCATGCTCACCAAAATTAAAAAAAAAAATCAAATTATTCCTTGTGTCACCAGGCCCAGATCGCTTCCCTAAATACTCCTAGGATTTATTCAGTTTATTTAGGTGCTAATTCTGATATCCAGGGCCACAGGTTTGTCCGGAGGAGGGGTGGGGGGAAGCAAACTTGCAGCTATTGTGTAAATGAGCTTGTTGAAATAAAAGTTCTGCCCTCGTTAAAGAGTCCCTCAAACCCTCCTCACCTTTTGTTATTCTATTAATGATTGATGGCGAGATAATCGCGGCCACTTCTGCATTCTGAGTCGGGAGACAATTCACGAGTACCCTTCAAGTGCTGGGTAACAATGTTTATTTTTATTTGCTTTGCAGAAAAGTCATTGGGGTGATTAAGCACTTCAGAACGCTTTTGTAACTAAATGTTTATTTTTCATGGGCCACCCTTGTAATCGAGCCGCTAAAATTGCGGGTGTTTTGAGGCAATTTATCAGGAAAAGTGGATTTCCACACCCTCCCTGGAGTAATCCCTGAGCGCAGAGGAGTTTACAAAGTTTGGGTGAGGCTGCAAAAAAATAGCGAACCACCAACTTTAATGGAAATATCGTCCCTTAAAGTGATTTAAAATACGGGTGTTGTGCTGTGCCAGCCACAGTGTCAGAAATGGGCTTTATTTATCCCGCTCTTAGCTCAGGCTGCAGCTCCTCGCATTGGATCTTATATTGCAAAACAATTAACTCCTGTGTTAATTTCGTTTGGTAAGGAAGATACTTTCCAGGAAATGCTGGAGTCATTAATTGTGACTATCACTCATTAATTTAGTGTTGTCATTTTGGAAGGCGCCGGGGTTTCTGACCTTTCTGATCCTGGTGGGACTGCTGGAGTTTTACCTTCCCAAAGCATCTTTAGGGAATATTGTTCACCCAACATTTAGGGAAGGTTTTGTCCCAGCTTGTCCAGTAAACAGCTCCATCAGACTTCACATTATCCTCGTGGAAGCATCGTCATCATCAATACTAATTATTAATAATAGACAATATATATAATAATGCAATATATAACAATGATATTCTTACTAATCACGGTAAATGTAAATGAAGGTTTGTTTGCTTTAAGGATTTAACCCTGAACACTTTTAGGCATTGGGCACCTTCAGGAAACACCAAAAAGAGATGTTTTGGGATAGTTTTTAGAGGAAAAGGGGAGGGGGAAGGCGGGGAGCATCCTGAGGGAGGCTGGAGCGGGGAGTGCGGGGCTGCAGCGCTCGGGCCGGGCAGAGAACGCGGTGAGCGCCCGGGTCTATTCCCGGTTCTGTTCTCCGGTTCCGTTCTCCGGTGCTGTTCCCAGGTCCATTCCCGGTTCTGTTCTCCGGTGCTGTTCCCGGGTCCATTCCCGGTGCTGTTCCCGGTGCCGCTCCCTGCCCCTCCCGCGCTGTCGGCGCCGCCTCAATCTTGTCCCCCCCGCGCCACCGTCGGCGGGTGAGGGGTCAGGGCTGCGGCCCGGAAGCGGCGGCGGAGGCGGGGCCCGGTGCCGGGGCCTGTCCGTGTGTCCGGCCCGGGGCTGCCCGGGGAGCGGCCTCTCCGCCTGCTGCCCGTCCGCCCGTGCCCGCAGCCCCGGCAGGGCAGGACGATGGTGCAGAGCCCGCCCGCACGGCAGCGCCGCCGCCTCTGAGCCCCGCCCGGCCCGGGGGCCCGAGCCCCGCCGCGGACGCCGGTAAGGAGGGGACGGGGGCGGCTCTGCGGCCCGGCCTGTCGCGGGATGGGGTCGCCCTGAGGCCGCTCCGGGGCTGGGGGGAGCGGGACGAGCACCGGGAGAGCCCCCGGGGAGCCTCGGGCGGCGGCATCGCTGCGCTGCCCCCCGAGCCCCGGCTCCCGCTTGGCTCGGCTCTGCTGGGGGGGTTGCAGCCTCGGCTTGTTTTTGTTATTTACGTGAAAAAAATACTTTGGGAAAGGTCGTCAGCTTGAAGTTCGTATGCGTGGCGTCGTAGCAGAAAAAAAAAAAAAAACCAGCAGTGAAAAATAATAATTTCTGTAGCACTAAAAATACTTGTTTCAAAATAGCCTCTGAACAGTGGTTCCTGCGTTGGGCTTTTTTTCTGTGTGGTTGTTTTGGGATTTTTTTGCTCAATTTTCTGTACACCCATATTTCATCCTCTTTCACTTTTTTTGGGGGGGGGTTTAACTCGACTGATGATCTCATGATGGTTTTAATAATAAAATTCCTGGTGCATCATGCCTAGAACATGGCTGCTCCGTCCCTGCCGTTACCTCCGAGGCATGGATCGGAATCAGCCTGCGAAAAAATACCTTACAGCACAGTTGGGATTTTTTTTTCCCCCCTTTTTTCCTTTGTTTGCCTTTTAAGGGTTTGTTTTTTGGGAAGTTTATTTGCAGGATTAGCTGTGGAGATGGAATTATCCGGGTAAATTTGCGCCGGTAGACAAACCTGGAGGGTAGATAAGGATTCATTAATTGCTCTCCACATCCTCGCTCAACTTCCCCGAAGTTTGGCCGCTGGAAGAACGCGGTGGGGAATAAAACCTGGGCCTGGCTGTTGTGTTAAACGATTATTGCGGTTTTCTGAGGGCTGAGTTACAGGAAATACTCCCCAAATCAATCCTTGTGCCTTGGGCAGGACACAGCGGTTCGGGTTTCACAGGGTGAGTTTGTGCCACTTCCCTGCACCTGCCTCTGCCCGGGTCTCTGGGAATAATGAGCCGATGGCTGCGGGCCAGCTCCTGCTCAGCAGGTGTGCACAGCACACAGACAACTTCTGTGGCAGCCCGAGCGAAGATAATGTTGAATTGTGGCTGAAAAACGCTCCCTGAGCCCGGCCCGAGTGCCATCAGAGAGGATTAAACCCTGGGTTTAATCCTTTGTTACCTGCCGCGATTTGAGGTGTGGCTCTGGTAGAATGGGATTCTTTTCCACTTGAAAGACAAGAGCTTGAAAGGCCACCTGGTTAAACAAAATAGTCCCTGTGCTCTGAGAGTGTCCGGGAGCTGCTAAGGGCAGGGCACAAACACAGCCGGGTGTCCTTTGTGAGCTGGGGACAGCAGGGACAGAGCCTGGCACATCCAGCACCCCCTGAGCTGATCCTGCCGATCTGGCAGCTGGGATAATCTTCTTTTTTATTAAATAACATCACGGGTTTTGTAGAAATGAAGCTGTTTTATCAGTTGAGCCCTAAATTATTAATGGAACTCTTTGGTGTCAGAATTGCGTCGCTTTTCCCAAACTTCCCCTTACCCAAAGCATGGCTGGGTGGGAATTAATTTTCTTTCTAAGGTTGTCCCAACCTGTGGGTAAAGCTGGTTCCCAGGGCTCTGAACTCCCAGGTTTTGTTTTGGATGAAAACTTGTGTGTGTCCTGGCATTTGGGGGTTTGTTAATCTGTAAAACAGAGAGTGAATCACCCAGCTGAGCAAGCTGAGGTCCTGTTTCCTCTGAGCAGTGGGGGTGAAGCACACAGACATGATAATATTCCAGCTGTAACTTTGATACCTCAGTTCCCTCATTTCAGTTGGTTTTGCTGCTGTTTCTATTCCATCAGTGGCCAATGGCTGCTTTGCTGCTTCTCTCCCTTCTTTCCACACCTAAACTCTGAATTTGCCATTCCCCAAAGCTGCCATTTCCTCAGCTTGTCAGTCATTTTTCTGCTTGTGATTCAAGCTGTGTATCTGTCTGCATCCCTGTCTCCTCACAGTTCTCATTACAGACTGAAGAGCCTTTTCCTGGCTTTTCTCTGCACTTTCACCGCTGAATTTGGTCCCACATTCCTTAATCAGTGGTTTTAATGAAGTCAACAATTAACCTTGAACTGGTCACTCAGCCAGTTTCTGATTATTGAACAGTTACTGAGAATTTTCACACTTCTTGATTTAAGCCATCCTGTATTTTTGGCTGCTGTCAGTTCGGTGTACACAGAATTTGGTTTTTCATGGATCTTTAAAGATCCTGTAAAATGGAATCATTTTACTTTTCCTTTCCTCTCCCAGGTTCTCATGCTAAGAAGCAGTAACCAGAATAGCATTTTTATTGCAAATTCAAAGTCCTTCGTCTATTATTGTGTGTTTTATTGCAGTCTGGGTGATTTGGGTTACAGTAACTCAGGTTGGAAGTCATGACTTGGACTTGGAAAAGCTGAAAGGTGTAAAAA